GATCGCATTTCGTGTGGTGTAATGGATAACGAAACTGGAAGGGGAAGTGGAAGAGCTTAGTTCGAATTCCAATTCCTTATATTGACTTACGTACAAATAACTTTGGGAAAGGCATAAGTCCACCTCTTATCCTCCATTTGTAGGTTAATTAGCAGTACTTGAATCAGTAAATCATTATTATCTTCCAAAAGATTTTATAATCTAAAAATATTTTCTTGCATTAAATAACCGGCAAAAATTTTTAAGCCGCAAAGTAGAAATCAGTCAATTAAAATAAAGATGATATTTCGTGTTCCAGTGTCTTTAAGGAAGTCACACTTTTCTTGACCTAATTATTCTACGCGCTTTATTCATTTAATTTTTTAGGTCTTTGTTAATAAAATTTTACTGCTAATATTTGTTAACCGATTCAACCCGAGCGTCAGCGCACGATTTTTTTCGGAAGAGCTCGGATCACGGAAATATATGTAGAGCCTTACATCCCACCGCACACAAACATGCTGAAGCTCTTTAGGTGTACGATCACAATTTCATTTACTATGAAAATACATTGAAAGTGCACTGATCTCACAGTTCGCTACGGTAAACAATACAATATCAACCGTCATCGCAAAAACATTAATAGCTCAAAGCGGTATACGTACATACAGAGGTGTTAGTTTAATTTCACATCCAGTATAGTGGCTTAAGTACAAAAAAACAACCCCCCCCAAAAAAAACCCAAAAACAAAAACAAAAAACAAAAACAAAAAAACAACTCTCTGTTTGAAGTCACTGATACGGATTTATATTATCTTTATATTCCAACAGCCCTTTTCCACACACGGGTTTGTCTCTCATTACAAACTATATGGAGAAAACACGTATTTGAATAGTTTTTTTTTATTTTGTTTTATCCTCATTACTTTTGTTTGGATATTATTCTATATCTAAAGAGTTTCCTGTAAACAGAGGAAACATGTCTGATTCATTCTTGTATTTTTAATAATATTCGAAAGAAAAATACATAATCACACGAAATGTTTTTTGCTTTTATTTTCGTCTGATTTTTCTGTAATGACAATGAAAATTACGACGATCAACAATGGCGTGTCCTCTGAATCGTGTTTAATACTTGCCTTAGTCTTCGTTTTATTTCAGGAATATTTGGCTGCTGTTCAATCCAGTAAACACTCGCATATTCCGTCTTGTATTGTCACACGGCAATTCCTGTTACGTCACTTCCAGAGTAAGTGGAGTAGCCAATATAATGCTTCCGGTTCCGTTTTGGCAAAAGTTTCGGAAACGAGTGAACTTAACATTCGGAATCATAACATCTGCTATACGACCGCAGTATTTTCTGTCACTTTAGCTGAGAGGAATTTCAAAAGCCTTCTTACTCCCAACTTACCATCATGGATGGGAAAATGCCGTACTATCAAAAGGAAAATTAATTTAAGAATACTAGTTTCAAGTGGGAAGTTAAACGAAAAGGTATATATGTTAAAACACACTTTTTCGTAGACTCGATATAACTAACATGATATATGTAACATTTTCTACTATTATGCACAATAAAGTATGTCTATTAAAAAATATTATCCATATATATCCATATATATATATATATATATATATATATATATATATATATATATATATATATATATATATATATATATATATATAAATGAGGTTTTGAGGTACAGAATTTAATAATAGCTAGGAAAAGGCGAAATTTATAAGGCATTTTTTTATTAAAAAAAAGCTAAAAAAAACAACCGGTTTCGTTCCAGGACTTATCAGGTTTATTTTTCTGGGAAGAGCGTGTAAATTAAATTAACGAATGGAATTGAAGAGAGAAAAAAAAATGAATTTCAAGAAACTAGAGTCGAATAACATTCAGACCTAGTAAGCATTCCTTCTGTTTACAAAGGGAAGACCCACGGGATCTAATATACAAGGACTCTAGAACCTTAAGGTGAAATGTGGTGTGGGACCTAGATAAAATCAAAACACGGTCCACACTAAAATTAACCACATATTTCCTGGTATTTATTACATAGTCAGAATAATCCTAGAGCGATATAAATATTGCAGAGTATTACAGTGCATTTGGTTTTTACCTACCAAATGCTCTTCAATACTCTACAATATTTATATCGTTTTGAGGATTATTTTTACACATACACAAATAAAATATTTCAGGTTATTTTTCAATTCTATTGGAATAACAATTTTTTTTTAAATTCAAGAAAAAAAAGTAAGTCAAACCTTTGATAAAAATTAGGATATCCTAGATACAACCAGTATTTAACCACGAGCAACTTGATGTTGCTTTTTCTAGACATACATTGAAAAATGTTATATTACCTGAAAAGAACAGACACGTCATTTACATTATTCACAACTGTCCTTATCTATGGACAAAGATGAGGATATTAGTCGGAATGAAAATAATGATAATGTCTCATCCTAGAAATCCAGACAAAAAGCGATCGGGTGATAATAACAACAAAGATGCGGATGATAGTCCAAATATAAATAATTATAACCCCTAATTCCAGACATACAGGCAGAAGGCGATACAGGGATGAGGATAATAGTCCAAATAAAATGATTAAAATAACATACAGGCAGAAGGATGAGGATAATAGTCAAATAAATTATGATTATAACGATCCCAAGGATGAGGATAATTCCAGACATACAGGCAGAAGGCGATCTGGTAAAAATAACAGCAAGGATGAGGATAATAGTCCAAATAAAAATGATTATAACCCCTAATTCCAGACATACAGGCAGAAGTCGATCTGGTAAAAATAACAACAAGGATGAGGATAATAGTCCAAATATAAATAATTATAACCGCTAATTCCAGACATATAGACAGAAGGCGATCTGGTAAAAATAACAACAAGGATGAGGATAATAGTCCAAATATAAACAATTATAACCCCTAATTCCAGACATACAGGCAGAAGGCGATCTGGTAAAAATAACAACAAAGATGAGGATAATAGTCCAAATGTAAATAATGATAGCTCGTCATTCCAGAAATTCTGTAAGAAGGCAATCAGCTGATATTAACAACAAAGATAAGGACATTAGTCGAAATATAAATAACGATAACCTCTCATCCCCTAAATTCAGACAGAATTAAGAGAAACATAGGAAAATAAAGAATATTGTTTTTCGCCAAGTTGTTTTTGAGAGATTAGGGATATTTATTGATTGATGAGGGATATTTATTGATTTTCTCCGCCAAGCAATTATCAGTTCGTAAACAAAGATGCTGTAAATACTATGCCGGGAAAATGTGAGCAAGGACAAAATTTTATAGAAAATGGAAACAAAAAGTTGTGCTTAATCATGAGAAAGGGACACTTGAAATTTCTGGGCCACATTATGAGGAAAGAAGGCTTGGCAAATTTACCCCTCACAAACACATTGAAGGCAAGAGAAGTAGTGGAAAGCAGTGGGCAACCTTCCAAATAAGTTTATGTAAATGGATGGCAGAACAGAGTATAGGAGAGATCTTCTTTCATTTCACCCCAAGGAAGGCAATAAATTCACTAAGACGCAAGAGGTTTCCGTGTGAAAACATACTATTAAGGAGAGTGAACAATAAAAGAACTGGAATTAAATAGAGAGAATATGACGATTGACATGGTGTTTAAATTTTTGAAGATCAAATTTGAAAACAAGAATCCAAATAATAGTTTTACAAGCAAGATGTGTAAGAGAAGGGCCTGTTGTCATAGAACTTACGATTATTTTCTAGCCATTTGAAATGTAAAATGATGAGACCGAATTGACAATCTAGTACTGCGCTTCAATTCATAAAGTGAAGGAATCAATGAGGGAAGCACATCACAACGTTTACCATTAAAATATTTATAGCAAAGGCACAGGTTAGCGAGTCGGTTGGAAAGTGACTAAAGCCGAGACGCCAGATCAGGACTGATAACATTGCAGATTATCCATTTGGATTTTATCTAGAATATCTAATTACATAGAAAAATATCTAAATACATAGAATTATCACCAGACCGTGAATTGATAGACTTATAAAAATTTAAGATTAAAATTGTCCCGGTCAAAAGATTGGGCCGACTTCCGTAGCTGCAGATTTCGCAGTTGACTCAATATAATCTTTCCAATTTATGTAAGAGGAAAACGAAAAGGTGCAGTGACTCAATTTTCTTTAAGTTAGTATCAGACATGTTGATGAAAGGACAGAAAAGTTTCTCTAAGATGATTAAAAGAGAACAGTTTCGTCTTGAGGGCGTTAAAATTTGCAAGCCATTTCTTGCCCTAATTAACAACAGATTAAAACTCATTTTTACAATGGTTGCATCTACTTCAACTATAGCAAAAAAAAAAGAAGCAAAATAACAAAATTTACTTGTCGTTTGTATGACGATAAACTACATCCGGCATCTTAATTGATGTTGTTCCAATCTCCACCCTGACATGGGGCAGTATCACCTGTTAGGGTCCCAACTATGGTCAAATAGTTAAACTCTCAGACTGGGGTCAAAACACTTTGGAAGTTCAGAAATAGGTTTTTATAGTAAAAATACCAGCAATACATTTAAAAAAAAAAAAAAATGATTACCAGCTACAAAAATCTTCTTGGTATTAAACAACACGTTGAGGTTGATGTGTCCCAAATCAAAGCAACAAAAATTTACTAAGGGCTACAAAGGACAGGAAATTGTGGAGAGCCATGATCGCCAACGGTCTGAATGGACACGGCACATAGAAATAGAAAAATAAACAATTTCAAAGTTTAAATTATGAAATAAATTATTTTGTTGCATGGGTCATTTTGTATTCTGTTATCAAATTTGGCAAGATACTCTGGTATTTTCTTAAGTAAAGAAATCAGATTGTACATATTGAAACTGTTCGAAATGTTTTCTTGAAAATTAATATCGTTTGGCCTTCGGTAGTAAAAAAAAAGCTTGGATATAAGTATTATAAAAGTAAAACATATCAGAGATTCATATCAGACGATGCCACATTATTGTGATGCTTATAGTGTTGGTCAAACGCACGGCTGATCGGCTGTTGAATTACGGTAAAGATCAAATATCGATGCTGATAATGTTCTTTTTTGAATTATTATCATGTTTCCTTCATCAATGTACATCTAAACAAATGGAAGATTTTAAAATATATTATGTGTTGTGACATACTTTTTTATCGTCACTATTTACGTTAGTCCTCATCTTCGTCGCCATATTTATCACAACGTTTTGACCGTTGTACGTTCCGGCCTTCTTCGGGTGGTTGGAATGTCGAACTGAAAGCTTTATTTCGCTCGCTGGGGTAGACTGTTCTAGTTCCATGTGCCATGTTTAATGGATGTCAGTTATCACCTGTTAATTCCCCTCTGAAAGTTCTCCACTGCCTTAACCCGGTATTGAACTCACACTCTTTGGGTCCTGTCACTGGGTCAAACTAACGCCTTTATCCACTGTGCTATGTGTCCTTGAAGATCATCTGTGTCCTTGGACATCTGTGCATGAATTTTGGGGTACTATAAACTCAATGTCTTCAGACATTATTTTTTACCAGTGCTCATATAGCAATTTTTGCTGTTATCATTGTATGTTTTTTTTTATTTTTACCAGAGCTCATATTGCAATTTTTGTTGTTACTATCGCTTTTCTCTGGCACTTTTTTTTATCGCGTTTCATTGCGAATATGCAGGAGACAATTCGTGGGCAGCGGTGGAGAATGAGTCACTCGGATTTTAAGTTAGATTTTGGCTGAGGCGAATATTGGTCATCAACCGGAATCCGCATCCATCTGTTTTTGTTTGATTTTATCAAACTGAGTCAGTTTATAAATCACTTTGAACTAATTCTGATCTATCTATCTATCTATCTATCTATCTATCTATCTATCTATCTATCTATCTATCTATCTATCTATTTATCTATCTATCTATCTATCTCAATCCGTTTCTATCTATCTATCTATCTATCTATCTATCTATCTATCTCAATCCGTTTCTATCTATCTATCTATCTATCTATCTATCTATCTATCATTATCTATCTATCTATTTCAATCCGTTTCTATCTATCTATCTATCTATCTATCTATATATATATATATATATATATATATATATGTGAATTCGTTTCTATCTATCTATCTATCTATCTATCTATTTCAATCCGTTTCTATCTATCTATCTATGTGAATTCGTTTCTATCTATCTATCTATCTATCTATCTATCTATCTATTTAATCCGTTTCTATCTATCTATCTATCTATATATATATATATATATATATATATATATATATATATATATATATATATATGTGAATTCGTTTCTATCTATCTATCTGTATATATATATATATATATATATATATATATATATATATATATATATGTGAATTCGTTTCTATCTATCTATCTATCTATCTATCTATCGATCTAACTATCTATTTCAATCCGTTCTATCTATCTATCTATCAGTATGTGTGTATGTCAATTTGATTCGTTCGATGGATGGATATTATATATTTCATATCTCGATTTCTCTAAGCATTGTTCTTCCCAATGTCCAGTCGCATTTTCCAAAATCCAGAGAAAATGAAGATTTATCCGATTTTCCTCGTTCAAATATTACATCTTTATTACCAAACGCTGTGTGAATACAGGAAGCCATGGCGTTCAAGTGTCTTCGGTTTCTCTTGTTTGCGCATGCCTAAACACTTTTGAATATAAAAAATGTTGTCATAAAATAGGACCGCTATGGCTAAATACATATTGACACCAACACTGAACTATTCCAGTCTATATTTCTGTGAAATAAATAACTCATTAGTTTGGGATTCCAGAGTAGATTCCGAAGATTTTTACAATTCTTTTGGTGTTCTTTTGAAGATCATCGAATGTAGATGAAATTATTCTGTGGGTCAATTATGCATTACAAAGAATTCATCCGTATAATTTATGATTATTACCCTTCCTTCATTTGTATAAGCTTTCTCTTTCATTCTGTCCCTCTCTCTCTTGTTGACCGATATTTCAAAACTTTAATGTACATTGAGATTTGATCTCAGCCTGTACATTATCTATCTATGCATTACGTATGCATGTATATATGTATATATCTATCTCAGTCTTTGCATTTTCTATCTATCTATCTATCTATCTATCTATCTATCTATCTATCTATCTATCTATCTATCTATCTATGTCTTTTCTTTATCTCTATCTATCTATCTATAGATGTGTGAATTTCGGAGATGAGGATTTATCTTTAAAATTCAGGCCGGTAAATGTTGTTAATACTGTTTTCTTATAGAGCATTTACTTAAATATTTGTATCTATCAAAATAACGTACAAACAGAAAAGTCTAGGATTAATCGTTATATTTTCTTTTCGTATTCCTATAGTAAGAAGTAAGTTCCATTTGGACAGCGTCATCTCTAGAACTGCTGCTTTGTGGAACAGACTCTTGGCAAAATGTTTTCCCAATCACTTCAAGTCCAGAGTTTCATGCATATCCCCACATGAACTTCACTATTCTTACGCTCATACAACAGCACTTAGTAACCCGATATCTTGAGTGGCTCCCGGGCCTTGTATTGGTTGAAAATTAGCATGAAAAATGTCGATGTTATCTTCACGATGAATGCCACCTGATCTAAACCATATTATTTAAGAAGTTGTAAACTGGCACAATTCTTAAAGACACCTCCCCAAATCAAAAGGCAAAGAGCCAAAAAAATTGTGAAGAAAAAGAAAAAAAATTTAGAAAGAGGTCAAAATTTTTTGATCATTTTATTTTTACGCAAATGAATTTTTTTAAGTGTATTTTTTAATGATCTGTTGCTTTCTGACAAAATCAGTAGAAGGAAGATATGTTTTTATTTATTTTATCGTCGTCATGTTTTTTGTAATGTGCTCATAGATTAATAGTCGAGATGAATCGAATTAAAAGAAAACAGAAACTCTGATCAAATAAAAAAAAGAATGGAACAGAAGAGAAAATATAAAGCGAAAAAATGGCTGAATCATTCAAACATGGCCAACGACTGAAGTATTTGAAAGAAAATAAAAGTGAATGAAAAAGGTAGAAAATAAAGGCGACAAAAAGAGATAATAATCAAAGATTTGATACAAGCACTCATACCAAAGACGAAAATATCTTATTCCGAGTGAATAGTAGATTTAATTTTGCAATTAGTAATGCATACGGGAAAGATTTTCATCATCACCAGTTCAATGAACAATCGCTGTCGTAGGTTCGTCGTACAGCTGAGCACTTGATCTGTTTCCTCCAGATATCTGCTTAATTGATTGATTCGTTTTTTACGTCTTATCAACCCTTTGCAGGTTATTTAAAACCAGAAAATATAATTAGATTGTAAGAATTGTTTTCTCTAGGTGGAGGGATTCCTGAATTCGGCAGCCAAAGCGGAGGGTTGTCCTATTGGAATTAATAGTTATGCATCTGAGACAAAAAAAAAAAAAAGAAGCGAGACTCCGATTGTAGAACATAGGCTTGAACTGCAGAGGGATGGGTTCCGCCAGGTCTATCTGTCCAAAAAACGTTACGCACGAATATTTCTCCGGCATTCAACTCACACATGTGGAGGCTTACGGTTGTGGTTGAGACACTGGTTCCTCTACGGTTGCCGTAGTTAAGCAACATTGAGCCTAGCCAGTAACTAGATGGGTGACCGCTTGGATGTGCGGTTGGTGTAATGGATAATGTCTCAGATTCTCTTTACGTGTAAATACCTTTGCGAACGGTAGGCTTAGTGTTATGGGACCTTACCCATAATAACATAATGGACTATTCCATACGTAATAAATACTGCGCCTCAAGAGGAAGCGAGGAGAGAGTTCAGTCTGAAGTCTGGAGTGAGGTCCGTCAGGAGTCCGTCAGGTGTCTGTCAGTCAGTCAGTCAGAGCGTGCGAGTCAGTCAGTCGAGTCAGAGGCAGTCCGAAACAGAGTCGCGTTCAGACAATTACTGCAAGACATTGGAATAGTGATACTGGTCTAGACTACATTGTTCTCTCTACTAAACCTGATTGTTCATACTAACACTTTCTACTTCTCTGTATATATTCCTGTTTGTAATATATCTGTGTTGTTCCATATCCGTGTTCGAGTTCTTTATTGGTTCTACCTTGGACTATCACCCGGGGTACAAGGAACCGGACCATAACAGTTAGGGTTCGGGAAAATCCAACTCTTCTCCCCCCTAGCTATGGGTTAATTAGTAAGGCTTGTATCACTAAACAATTATTATCTCCTTCAAAAATTCTTACAACCTAAAAAAATATAAATAAATGTATCTTTTGAAATAACATGCAAATGGTTGATAAACCGTAAAAATGAATCAGTCAACCACTCTAGATTTTTGGTTAACTTGGTTGAAATGAGTAAAATTTAATTAAAAAAACGATACAGTTAAAGTAAAAAAAAGAATCAAGTGTTTATATGATAACCATAAAACACGTTCGATGTAGATTTGGTTAAAATAAAATCTATTTTTCTGATGAAGTTGTTGAATCAGCGAAACATGTCAAAATAATAGTTTTTTTCCCCCAAAATTGTCTTACATGAACCATTCCGTTGCATTCTCATCCAAATTTGAGTCAATCCTTGGAATATTGGTACAGTCTATATTTTTTTTTCAGCACCTCAGTTTTATTGAAAGATTTACGAATATATTTCCATAACAGTTTGAAAGTTTTCTTCATGCACGATATTTGAAAAATAGATGAACATATAAAGAAATTGATTTTAAATAAAATAAAATAAAATAAAAGTAATTTCGACAACAAAATTTAGGTCGCTTAGAAATATATTACTGAAGATATATTTTCTTTTTGTTAGCATTCATATTATAATTTTCAAGTGAGATTCGACATTTTCTAAGCTTGAATATTCCTGTAAGCGTTCCAAAAATCATTTACGTCCTTCGCATTTCGCTTAGTTGTTGGATGCTGATAAGCTTCAATCATCCTTT